CGTCTTTTGACTTTCCCTCTAACACATGATAGGTTCACAAAAGAAAGACGTACAATACAGGAAATAGCAGCCACTAACGGTTTCTCGAGGGGTATTGTAGATGACATAATGAGGAAGAAGAAGTTTAGGTTAAGAATGAACAAAATCTCGACTTTTAAAAAGGACCAAAACCGCCAATACCACTAATACGCGATGATCTGTGGAGAGAGATTTTCAAGGAACTTCAAGGAGCCTCTTAGGAAGTCCAGAAGACAAAGTCGAATATTCGGAAAATTTACGAAATTAAATATAAGGTCTGTGATGCAAAATATTATTGACAGACAAAAATATCTATTGAAGTAGGATATAGGGAACACTCAGCACACTTAAAAAATGGAAGACCTGAAAAATCAGCAGTCGCTCATCATTGCTTTCAACAAAACCGTTCCATAAAGTTCAGTTCATTAAGATCAGTTAGAGAAGTTAACAACAACAGACATCGAACCACTCTATATAGACGATCCTTCAGTTATAATATATATAGTTTGTTCAATGATATTCCACAAAAATATAAATTTAGTGAAGTTTCTTCATTTAAATGCTGTTACAAAAAATATCTCTTCGCTGTTCAATTATAAAGCCATTGATTTCATTGATTTCATAGATTTTATACTTCTGAAAATTTTTCAGTAATAAATTCAACATGTTTACTCTATATCTTCCCTCTCTCTCCTTCCTCTTTTTTTCCCTTCTTTTTTCTCTCGTTTAGTTTTCTTTTATTCAAGGCTAGAACTGAGATCAACAGTACCCTTTCGGTACATGTTGTTTCTAGCCTTATTTGTAGTTTCTTTTTTTATCATTTTTATAGATTGTATATTTATTGTATTTATATGGAACTACAAATAAATATTATTATTATTATCTAGATGCCTATGAGAGTGTAGAAATGAGTAAACATAATAATGTGATGTATACTATGTAGCTTGTTAAAATAATATTTTATTCATTAGATTCAACTGAATATTAGATAAGGACACATTGTAAAATTGATTTGAGACTAGTAGATGAGGCAATATTGTGAAATCAATTTAAGACACTTAAGACGGAAGTACCTAGAACAGGTATCTATGGTATAAGTGAGGATAGCTTTGTAAGTAGAATTAGTTTGATCTTCCTCTTGAAGATGATGACTTGGTGATCGAAACACGTGTCAAATTGTGACTACTGAGAGAACAAAAAGACATAAAATATATAATTGATGATTTGAGTACAAAATGTCTATTGATTTCATAAAATTACAGCCAAAATCATAAAGAGAGTTGAATCAGAATTGTCACCTCTTCTTGAATTTTTCAAAAACTGAGAATTGCGAAAGTTTTGTCAATTTTCAAAAACCAATTTCTGTTTTACCAATTATATCCAAAATTATTGAAAGAGCAATGTATAACAAATCATTGAAATATTTGGAATCCATTCATTCCTTGTATTTCAAACAATATAGCTTTCAAAGGTCCAGTGATACAGTACGTGCAGCTTTGGATTTGATTTCTAATATTCAGACTTCTTGCAAAGCTTTTGTTGGAATAATTATTTGATATTAGTATTAGAGGTAATGAATTTTCATGTTTCAAAATCGTTTAAGTGTTGTAAAAGTAGGTGAGTTCATTGAAAAAATAGTTTGTGAAGTACCGCAAAGATATACAGGGTGATTCAAAAGTACTTTGACAAACTTCAGGAGGTGATTCCTCACAATATTCTAATATGCATTGTCCAAATAAATAAATGTCCGGAAACGCTTCGTTTTCAAGATACAGGATGTTGAAGTTTTATTTTCATTTTCGTTTTTTTTTAAATAACTTTTGAAATACTGAACTTAATTAAACGAAACTTGGTAATAGGAGGTTTTTGAGGTGTCGAATTCGAACCTGATGTTCTTATTGCTCTTACTCGTAGGGGGCGCCACCTACACGTCCTTTTCTTTTTTAAAGATTCATAACTTTTTTGGGAGTACTTCTAGCACATTTTTCATTAAAAAAATCGATTCCTCTATCATATCTACGTAAATAAGCTACCCTTGTTACTAGTCGCTGTAAGAAACCGTTTTCTAAATATTTCAACTTGAAAACTTCAAGTCGATTATTTGATAATCGATGTTGAAGTTATAACGAATATTCTGCTTCTATCACAATAATGCTTTGGAAATGAATTTGACGTTTTACTCGTTTGAAGAGGTCATTACTGTTGGGTACGTTCCTTTATGACATCCTTAAGCGAAATAGTTATTTTTGTATCAAGGGTGCATAATCAGTATTTGTTTTAATAAAATTTGCAAGAAATGTCAACATTTCATTTCAGGAAATTTTGAATATGTAGAATAAACTAAAATGAACGAAACTAAATTGTATTCAAATAAATTGTTGGAAGTGTCCACCTTCAGCGAAGATACAGGCAGTCAGTCGTCTAGTCATTGAATCTCGTACCCGCTCAGAAATTATTGGTGTGTTTCTTATTGTTTCACAGGCGTCTACTATTCGGTTTCTTAGATCTTCCTCGATCACTACTGGAGTCTTATAAACTAGTGACTTCAAATGTCCCCAAAAATAAAAATCTATCGGGTTTAGATCTGGGGTCCTTGGTGCCCACGCCTGGTTAGGTTCTTCTACACCCCTACCGATCCATCGATTTGGATAGACTGTGTTAAGAAATTCCTTGGCTACAACGGTAAAATGGGCCGGAGCCCCATCATGCATAAACGACATCCAGATACGAATTTCTAATGGTACATTCTGAAGTATTCCCGACAATTCATTTTATAAAAAGTGTCTGTAAGTTGCGCCATTCAGTCGGAGCGGAAGAAAGAAAGTGCCTACCACGTAATTATCAATTATTGCCGCCCATACATTTACAGAAAATTGATACTGATAATGCCTTTCACTAACTGTGTGCGGATTTTCGACAGCCCAAACATGGTTGTTATGAAAGTTTGTGATAGCATTTCGGGAGAAGTTTGCCTCGTCCGTGAAGAGTACATATCTTAAATATTGAGGATTTCCAGCCAATTTTCTCAAAACCTTCGACACATAGTAATGCGTTGGGGAAAGTCTCGTGGCAAAAGAGCCTGTACACTTTGAATATGATATGGATAAAACTGTTGATCGTGGATAATTCTCCAAACTGTGGACTGAATAGAATTGACAGCTTCAGCAATTACTCTTGTGCTTGTTTCTGAATTCTCCTCGAGAGCGTTCAAAACAGCTTCTTCCAATTCTGGGGTCGGACTGCTCTTGGTTTTCCAATAATATCAGCTGCCCTCTTAAAGCTACCTGTTTCTGCCAAACGACGGTGGAGACTAGCAAATGTTGGAGCTGAAGGCAGTACTCGATTAAAAAATCGATACTGGTAAATACATCTTGCTTAGCGCACATTGCCATCCGCAAGGCCATAAACGAAATGCATATCGGCTAAATGAGCATTATTGTTCAAATAATTCATTTTTCTTTCTTTCTACTCCTACTTACGGAAACTTCAACAAAACGCCTAACTGTCACAAAATATGTAATTACCAAAACTACTCATAAACGTCAAATTTATTTCCAAAGCATTCTTGTGAAAAATGCAGAATATTCGTAATAACTTCAACATGCATCGATTATCAAAAATTCGACTTGAAGTTTTCAAGTCCAAATATTTAGAAAACGGTTGCTTACAGCGACTAGTAACAAAGGTAGCTTATTTACGTAGATATGATAGAGGAATAGATTTTTTTACTGAAAAATGTGCTAGAAGTACGCCCTATTACCAAGTTTCGTTTAATTAAGTTCAGTATTTCAAAAGTTATTTGAAAAAAACGAAAATAAAAATAAAACTCCAACATCCTGTATCTTGGAAACGAAGCGTTTCCGGACATTTATTTATTTGGACAATTCATATTAGAATATTGTGAGGAATCACCTCCTGAAGTTTGTCAAAGTACTTTTGAATCACCCTGTATATTAGGATTTAATCTTTCCCAGTTTGATAAATTTAATTTCGGAATTACAGCTTTCTGGAAAATTACTACTATTTGCTGATGATACAACTTTTTGATCTATTGCAATGAAGATTCACAATAAATACATCAACAAATAAAATCCGATTCATAACAAATAGTTATTTGGATGTATGGATATATGTATGTATGTTTGTTTGTTTGTTTGCTTGTAACTCCCAAGCTCGGGATCTTAATTTGACAGAATTATCGACATTATTGATTAATCTATTCGCGGGCAGATGGCGCTGTACGTATACAGCGCCATCTGCCATCTCCTTGATATAATTCGAACTCACTTTACATGTATTTCTTCATTTGAAAAAAGTATTTTTTTTATTGACACGCGCGCCTGCTGCCTTATTTTTGACCGTTTTTTGCGTGACTGCTGCCTCGAGCTTGGTTGCTGATTTTCAGCTCTCTCTCCGGAATCGGAAAATATTGATGGTCGTTTTTCTAAACAATATACGACTGATTGATCCCAAAGTTTAGATAAAATAAATATAGGCCAAAAAGTCTAAAAAACACGCTTTCATAGCATACAAAACTGAAAAATGAAAAATTAATATATTTTGAAAACTAAAAAACTAAAGAACATCGAACTAAAGAGTTAAAAGTATTTTTATTAAATAAACTTTGTGCCATATTTTTGGTATATCAAGCGCCCGCTTGATACTAAATTTTTTCATTCATTATTTTTTCAAGCTCATTTAAAAACAATATTTTTAACTTTTTATCGATTTTCTTTAGAAGCACGTTTTTCAGTTTTTTTAACTATATTTATTAGTTGTGATATACTGTTTGGAACCTTTGGTGTAGTAATGAATATTACTGGAGTTTTTTCCCAACACTAAATCGTTATTTTTATACCTCGACACAAGTTTCGATCACCAAGTGATCATCTTCAAGAGGAAGATAAATTAGATATTTATTAGGTTTACATACAAATGAAACTCTTTAATGGAATATCCAGATCGATGTGATTCGAAAAAAGCTAGCTTCAGTATTTGTGATCCTATATAAAGCTAATTTACTTCTCACTCATTGATTCGAAATTGCAGTATTCAAATACAACTTTGAAACCAGAATGAAGCTGTTAAATGCATTTTTCATCTCCCTTTTTAGAGCCAACTAAAAATCTATATAAAACAGAGAGTATACTCAATTCTATTTATGAATCAATAATATACACGTTTCACTATGAAACTAGAAATTTACATGATCATCATGCTCAATAATCTGTTAAGAAAGATTCTCAAATCAGCATTTTTCAGAAAATACATATTTTACAAACGAATTATATCATGAATTACCAAATGACAAACACTTTTGCAACATAGAAAAATTCAAAATAGCAATAAAGATCTATTTGTTTTAATAATTTACATGATCATATTTGTTTGGTTTTTCTGTAATAAATTAAACCAATTCTGAAATGGCTTCCTTTAAAGATATATGTATAAATATTCCTAGTGTGTATAATTCCCTGTATAAACCATTGTTGTTTCTTGGAAATGAATGAATAAATGAAATGTGTTAGTAGTACCTGCCATGCAGATGGTGTGTTAGGGCTGTTACTGGACTTATCAGAACCACTGGATAAGTTAGCTATGAGGTCACTTAATGCATCAAGGCGGGTGCTTTCGTCTTGCAAGTCTGTAGGTCTGTCTGTGGGTGAACTATCAGTGCTATTTTCACTCTCAATACCCACCATGGCCGAATTATAACGAGGGCTGCTTTGTTTGTAATGCTGTTGCTGCTGCTGTTGCTGTTGTTCAACCAAAGACAGTAAACCATTATCGACCTGGTCGATTCCTTCGGAAGATTGGCGAACTATCTGTCCCATTGGATTAGCTGCTAGGATTTGTGCCGGGCTATGGTTACTATTCTGGAAGAGTCAGAGCAAATTAGTTAACTGAAGTGACAGTGAGTATCGTTGATACCAAGAACAATAATAACAAAAATGAAACCAAAAGATTTCCTCAATACGACTATGCCAGGGCGATGATTGGGAAACAATAGTTCTATTGAATGACTGTGTGGCTTCGCTGAAGACAAGGCATTCGAGTCAATTTTTGGCACTATTGAAGAATTTTAAGGAGTTATAAGGAGGGGGACTTGGGTAGCTATAATTCCACAAATGCTGGAAAATTGCCATATAAATACTATTGGAAAAGCAAATATATGTTGGAGGAACGACGGATAGAGAACCAATACTCCATTTTCAAATTGTAATATCAATTGAAAAAAATCTAATTAGTGGAATTTCATGATTGGCATTTTGTTATTGTTATTGTCCGTGGGCATACTTGAAAAGTGCTATAAATCAAATCATCTAAAGGAACAATTCGTTCAGACCAATCTCAACTCCTTACACTGTAGGTAAATGGATAATCATGGAACAACTACTTCCCTGGCTAATACCACGAAGGGCGTTGAATTATATCCGACAGGCGTCAGTACAGGATTCTTGGCTGAAGTTATTCCTGCATATACTGTTGGCGATACAAGTGCCACAATTGATGTTCAATTATTGGATCATACTTACAGACCGGTTTCGGGCTGTTTGGGCACTCGTCAGTGCAAGGTAGTGTCATTCCATCAACCTACAGGGTAGGGAGTTGAGACTGGCCTGAACCAAATGTTCTTTTAGATGATTTACTTTTAGATGATTTACTATTACATTGTCCAGTACATCTATACGCAGATGATATACAGTTATATTTGTCTTCTCATAACACCGATACAGAAAGTTGCATGGCCAATATAAACACAGATTTGCACAAGACTATCCTATACTCGGAGAATCATGGACTGAAAATCAATTCAAATAAAACTTTGGTGAATTTCACTAGTTCGGACTTCCATTGTCTACTATATAAAATGATTTGAAATCCCTGAAACAAGTAAAAAAGAATAATTGAAAAAGAATAGTTGAAAATAACAATTATATTGAGCAACAATAAACCTGAAATGAAATGATAGTGAAATAACCTACAAGTAAAAATATAATAATTGAATAAATAAAAATTGAAGGAATGAAAAAATAAAATAATAAAAAAAAATAAAAAAGTGTAGAGATTCCAAGTCACGTTAGTTCACGACGTTTCGATTGTTGGTATCTACAATCGTCTTCGGGTGATGACTGACAGTCATCACCCGAAGACAAATAGTAGAAACTCAGTGTAATTTTTGGCTCACTCTCGATAACGCAGACATTGACTGGGTAGACAGTGCTAAAAATCTTGGCGTAACCATAGATGGCTCTTTGTCTTTCCATGAACATGTGACAGACATTTTCAAAGTATCATTCTTCAAACTCAAATGGCTATATAAATTCAAGTATCAGTTATCAGAAGAAATGAAACTCAGGTTACATAAAACTCTTATTTACCCCCATACCGAGTATTGTTGTTCAGTGTATTATAATTTTTTGCCGCAATATAACAAGCGGAAGTTACAACGTAGAAAAATGTTAGCATGCGATTCGTATGCCGTATAGCAAATGGTGAACATGTCACAGCATTTTGTTAAAAATGAAGGCGCTGAATGTGAGAGTCCAATATTTGATAAAATTTTTTTGTTCAAATTGCTTATAACTAAAATAGTTTATAAAGCAGGTATTCTGACGTACATAATACGTTCAATTTGAGAATTAACTCATTCAACATACCTAGGCACCGTACTTACAAATTTCAAGGATGTTTTTCTTATACAGGCTGATTCACGGTGGATGGCACATTAGACGTTTCTGGTGAACCAGACAACGGATCACTTTGAAAATTTAATGGAGGGCATATTCGGACATTCTCTAGCCAACTAAAATATTTTCGACAATGCGGTGTTGCCGCTTCTATTAGAAAGCAGTAGCAACTTTGATTTTTCAAA